CCCCCCAAAAAATGTAGAAAAGGCTGATTCTAGGGGGTGGGGGGTAGATGGTTGCCTGTTCTGTTTTTTATTTCACATTTCAACACGTGTACCACCTTATTCGTTTTTTCAAGGCTGATTTTGGGGGCATGAAATAACGATATGGATGTGGTAACGAATTGATGATTTGGTCCCCTGTTTCGTTCCAGATTTCAACTTTTAGTTTTATTGATTGAAAGAGGATAGGACTTTCTATGGTTTCACGGGTTGGCTTTTGGGCGGGTCTTCTGGTTTGTCATTTAATGAAATGTTTATAGATTAAAAGTTCACTATAATTATAACATATAAGAATATAAATGATATAATTATGGTTTAGTTTTGAATTATACAGGTTCATCAACAATTAGCTTAAACCTTATGTTTTGTACTCCTCCAAAATTCATTCTACTTCTTTCATCATCAATACATCTGTATATTGTTTGATGTGCCTCCATCATTACTTCGGATATATTATCTATGGTTATATTATCTACAAAATCATCACTACGAAAATAAAAACTAAAAGTGTTAAAATGGTCGTCTTCATAATTGAAATGATGAAACCTTACAAACATATTTACCTCAACTATTATCACTGCTTCATAACCGTTATCGGTTTCAATGCCATCTAACAAACAATCTAAGTTTTCATTTTCATTAAACACTATATCTTTGATGCTTTTTATGCTTAAAGGTATATTTCTTGAAATGTAATACTCAATTACGTGTCTATTTATATCATCGCCATCTTCAACAGTATAGCGCTTTGTCTTTCTTTTTGTTTCTGTTCTGTCTATTTTATATCGTTGTTGTATTCTCTTTAATGTCTTAATATGATTATGTTTTAGTTTCAAATACTCAGGTTCCCCTAATTTATATGAAATTATATCTTTTAATATATCAACAGGTAAGTTAGTCCATTTCTCACTCATTGTCTCTTATTATATTATATTATTTTTTCTTTAAGTAGTTGTTATTTTACTCTGGGGGTTCGGGTTCTGGTCTGTGAGTCACCCCAAAGGGTATTGCCTCACACTTCAACACATGTTTCGTTCATCCGCAAAACATTTTTCAATCATCCGCAAAACATTTTTCAATCATCCGCAAAACATTTTTCAATCATCCGCAAAACATTTTTCAATCATTCGCAAAACATTTTGCGTTCAAATGAAAAATCCCCTCCCGAAGGTCAAGCCCCTCCTAAATCAGCATTTTTCAACCTTCCGCAAAATATTTTTCAGTCAACCGCAAAATATTTTTCAGTCAGCCGCAAAATCCTGTTAAGGGTTCTTGTGTTGGGAAGGGAGCATTGACCATTACCCTTTTTGAGTGTCGGACTGAAACAAACTAACAAATATATCACTAATCAAATCAGTAGGCATCTTATATAAATCCTCTTGTTTATGATTAATGTATCCATCACCCCAATCAACCTTTTTACCACTTGGCAACCGTTGAGCAGTTTCAAGATGTTTTCCATTTCTTATCTTACCACAATCCCCTTTACACAAAGGTTTAGGTTTCCATGTTTCAATGTTTGACCACAACCTCGTCCTCTTTCGATAGTTCATACCATATTTACAGGAATCTACATCATAATATTTTAGACCACTCATAAAGGGCTGTTCCTTTAACAATCCAGTTTGGGGATTTTCAACCACCCACCAAACAGGTTTGAAATATTCAATAATCTCAAGAGTTTTTAAAACGATACTATTAGCATAATCTATTTTTCTAATCCCAGTTGTTTTAGCCCTACTATATTCGGTGCACGGAGGAGATGCCCAAATAAAATTGAAATGGTTTCTGTCAAACTCTTTGTAGTCCCAACTCAAAATATCAGTGTTGATGTTAGCATGTTTCAAATCCAAGGAAATCACGCTGTAGCCCAAATCACGAGCGACCATACCAACACTGCCTGTACCACTAAATAATTCTAATAATTTCATATTATTAGAATTATTTAGATAATTATTTTAATTATCTTCATTATGTTCATTGTTATTTGATTTATATGATTGACACATCTTAGTCTTTTGATGTCTACTTAATTTGCTTTTGCGACCTACTACTCCACAGACTTCGCACACTACATTCTGCTTGTTTTGTTCAAGAATTTGTTGTCTATTCATTTGGTAATATTCTTTTCTATGTTGTTTATATTCTTCTTTATTGTTTTGATACCATTCTTTCATTCCGTTCTTTATTTTCTCTTGGTTAAGTGGATTATACATTTCTTTGTATTCTTTTGGTGTTCTACCTGCCACACAACGATTGACACATTCTGTATTTTGGATATGATAACCTTCTCGTCGAAGTAGTTGCTCTTTACTATCACACGGGTAGTGTTCAATGAGTTCTATCTTACAATTCTCAACCCCGTATTCGTCAAACAACACTCTAGAATTTGAATGTTTGTTTCGCCCGTGCCTTTCATTGAAATAATATTTCTTCCTATGTCTTGCCATCCTTTGGCTTAGTTCCTCACACGTGCTTCCTACATAACACTTTTCATAACCAACATCAACTATTTTGTAAATTTTACCGTTCTTATATCTTTCCATATCGGTTAATATCTTTAATCATCTTTTCTTTAATTCATTTTATCCTGAAATGACCATAGGGCAAAGAATTAAAAGCATCAAAGTAATGTCTTTTATTCTCATAATTACTCAGAGATTGTTTAACCTGAGACATCGAATAAATCTGGTGAGTGCGACTCCTGATGAAGTTGTAGGTGATTTCGTGCTTTTTGTTTTGATAAAGTGATTCCTCATAGTTTTGATATGTTAATTCCTTTTTAACCTTATGTTTAACAACACCTTTAGATTTCTTATGTTCTTCTTCTTCACCGTGGATTGTGAAAGCGTATGACTTTGGTTTGAGTGCTATAAACTTTGTAATTATCTTTGAAGAGCATTCATCTTTGTACATTCCTAAGACCTTCTTATTTGTTGTGTCATGGCATGGATGTTCAACAGGATAATCACTAAAATCCATATGTTGCTTGATACCTTGAAAATCCTTGTAGACATCATCAGTGAAGGTTTGAATTACATAACTGTCAGTATCGGTATATATCAATTTGATATTTTCGTTGTATTTCTTTTTCAACACACCATAGTAAAACTCATACATATGTAATTTACTCAAATCCAAAATTGTCATTCCTAAGAATATAGGTTTATCAAGTTTCAAGACCGACTTTGTCTTTTCCACTCCTACCAGATTTTCATTAATGATAAATCTATTTTTGAAAGTAGGATTATTCACGCATTTTTCATACCTAACATCATTATCTACCAGTTCAAAATCCATATGTTTTCTTTTGTCTTCCATAGTTTTTCCATACACCGCCTTATTCATTAATTTGAACAGGTCTTTCTCAAAGTCGCTCTTCGCTTCTTTCCTTTTGCCAGTGTTGAAGTCAATCCATGGTTTCAACCAAGCCCTCTGTTGAAATTTTATTATCCTATGAACCTTGGTGAGTTTCATACCCATTTTTAGATAATACTGTAAAGTCTTGATATGAACAACATATTTTTCTTTATCTTTCAAATTTAATATTAACTTGCTGGTTTTCTCATCCTTCGGTTCTTTGTTTCCATAGTAGATTTTGTAGATTTCCTTTTGATAGTCTGAAAGCATGTTAGCATTGACATTCATTATTTCCGGTGCTAGTGGATAGTCCGAATGGTAGTCGTGTAGTGTTTCTGGATACTCCAAATCAACTTCCATAATATAACCATACTCATCTTTTTCATCCCACTTTTCAATGTTAGGTGTTTTCTTTGCCCATTTGATGTTCTTTAAAGGCAATTTTTGAGACATTGCCAGACCATACAGATTGTTAGCATCTAAGTAATTGATATAACTTGACGGTTTACTTTCATCAAAGGCTTCATCCATATACTTATTGTTTGCCTCAGCCAGTTTATGACTGACCTGACACATGCCTCCTCTCATTCCCTGTTCAACCATCTCATACATTTCTTTATCGTGCAAC